CTCAACTGGTTAGGTTCCTTGTGGTGGAACCAGCCCACCCGGGTCCAAATCCTAGATTTGGCATGGGTGTTCGCATTTACAGCTAATTATTCTTTCAGTGCTAGGCGACGTACCCGTCAACAGCGAGGCAGTGATGACTTCGTCAATCTCAAGTCATACCGGCCCAGTTTTCCGGAGGTGCTCATCACAGGGGTGAGTGTGCGCGTGTTGTGAGAGCGTCTGCGTTTGTACTACTTCGTCAATCTCAAGACATGCCGGTCCAGTTTTTCGGAGGTGCTAATCACAGGGGTGAGTGTGCGCGCGTTGTGAGCGTCTACGTTTGTACTATGTTTCTATAAAAAAAGAGGTCAAAAAAATTTCATAAAACTAATGTAGAAGACAAGGAACATGGTATGACCGTTGTGCTCTTGGCTAAAGTAGATCCCTCGCTACCTTCTCTTCTAATTTTTGAACGAATCACTGCCTTCTCTCTTCAAGAGCCCTAGATGGCTAGATCCTCAAATTCCCGCATCCTTTCCTCCAAATCGGGAGCAAAACTATTCAAAATTGGGCCCAGACTCTAGTGAAATAGGAGGAGATCGATGGCAAAGGAGGAATGGTGGCTTGGGTGGTAACGGCAGACGCAGAGGCGGGGAGCTGCTTCGGCGGCAGCAGCATGTGGTAGTGGTAGCAGCAGCAGCAACACAGGGCACTGTGGTAGGGAGCAACAGCACAACTTGCGGCGGTAGCAGCAGCAGCGCTTGTGGCAGCAAGGGCAGTAGCAAGAGCAGCAACCACGCCGCAGAGTAGACAGCACAGCAACAGCGGGATATAGGGGTATCCACATCCTAATTTTCGTGAAAGCTCATCTTCTAACAGTGTTAGTTTAAGCTGGGAGTTTAATGGTAAGTGTTTTGGGTTTCAACGTCCGAAATATGCAATTGTGTTTTTTAAGACGGCAAATCTATAATATCGGGTCCACATCGATTCGTGCTAAGTCTAGAATGCACCCACGTCATCCCCGCGTGGGCAGCTCGGGCGACCGAACCCTAACCGCCGCTGCCCAAACCTCCCCCTCGCCTTGCTGCCACTAGAGGGAGCCACTGAGAACCAGGCAATGACCTAGGACGGCAGCGGCGGGGCTTAAAACCAGGTCCCGCGCGCTGGATCTGATGCGGCAGTGAGGACAGCAGAGCGGCGGCTGTCGGGGAGGGCGGCAGTCAAGGAGGCGCGGCGACGGGGAGTCGACAACCCCTCTTCTGCATAGGAGCCTAGGCCAGCGCGACGAGGAGGCGACAAGTCGGAAGGTAGCCGACGGCGGTACGGATCTGGCCGTGGCTGCAGTGTGCAAGGATGGAGGTCGTCGTGGCCATGGCGTGCCCAGGGGTCTCTTTCAGTGGCCGACCATGGCGGGGGCAGCTCGCAGCGGCGCTACTAGTGTCCCTAGGCCCATGGGATCATTTGTAATACATGGAAAGGGGTAGTAGTCAAGGAAGCCTATCTCGTATCTGTACATGAATGGTATGCACCCGGATTATAAGGGATACCATATCACACATGCCGCCAAATCCCCCCAGCACTATATAAGGGGCGCCGACATGAACCATAAGGGGTTACGCTTTCTTTCACACACATCGGACACAGATCTAATCCACATACAACTGGACTAGGGTATTACCTTGCATTGAGAGCCTAAACTAGTATAAACATCTGTGCCACCATCTCTCCTTGATTTAGAGCACCCTATAAATTATATTGTCGTTCATAAAAATCGATAGATTCCCATAAAAAGATTTAGGGGATTGAATTTTGACACTCTGCTGGTGATGCTTTTATGCACAACATCAATAGATGTATTATGGTTACAAGTGGTTTTAAAAAACAACGGCAACCATATGGTTAAAATACCTTAAAAGTTTTATAAGGCAGGTCATTCGCATAGAGAAAATGTACTCAAGCTCCCATAATATTATTCTTTTTTTATATATAGAAAAAAAGGTACTCCTTCGCAAGGGTATGAACATATGAGTTGAGCCAACAACGAGGATGAAACCATGCCTTCGTAACGGTGCGCGTACCTTGTAGAGGGCACGGTAGCCTCACTCTACCATAGGGACCGCGAAGAGAAATGAGAACCCATCCCCACAGCCATGCACATGACTCGGCACCAGGACACCATTACAATGATGCAAAGAAGGAGTTGGTGGCTGACATAAAGAGGGAAATGCTGGCGTCAAGCTTGGACTGCTCCGACGAGATCTGAGAACCTCAAGGCCAGATCCGATGGCATGTGATGGAGACGGCAACGGGGGCAGCAACCAGAGCGGAGGAGGAAGTGGTGATGGCGAGTTCACAGTGATGAGGATGGCTAGCTTGAAGCACCAATGAGGACTGGGAGATCGAAGTGGAGATTTGGATGGCGAGCTTGAAGCACCGAAGCCAAAGAAGGTGGGAGCCTCCTTGACTGGCGCTCGTCGATCCCGGAGCTCGGTGGTAGAGAAAGAAGGGGTGCCCTTGACTGCCGACGTAGCCTCGTTGACTTGTCCAAAGTGGTGGAAGGAGAAGGGATTAGGAGCAGCAGCTTCCACCACCAATGAAAACATCAGCTTGCCGCCTCGATTTGTGTTATCACTGAGGAGAGGGAGGACATGGGAGGAAAGGGCAACGAGAAGGGAGCAACGATGAGGAGGGAGGGAATGTGGTAGATAGGAGAGGATGACGAGCTTAGAGAGAGGAAAAAAGAGTATGAGAGTGGTTGACAACGTGGTCCATAGGAAGCCAAGGATACATATATATTTTTTATGTTGTCATAGGTCAGAAATATAAATTTTTTTAATATATTTGATAATAAGAAATATTCTTAGGGACTTAAACATAAAAACATCTGAGTTGGCCTGAGTCCACATGGGACGTTGAGGATACTAATGTAAATAGCTTTGCGTCGTGTATGTCTCTATAAGACGGTGATGTATACAAATCATATGCTCTCTCTAGAGTAGCAAACAAGTACTACTTATATACCATTTCTTCCGTGTTAAAATATAGTTATATAATAATATAGATTTTGATAAAGTTTTGTCCAGATTCATAGTATTATGCAATAATATAGCCCTTTGGATCTATTTAAATTCGTAATATAAGGATATGATGTGTCTAAGGGTGTCTTTGGTTTCTAGCTATACTTTGCCGCCATTTGTCAACACATATTACCACACTTGCCTAAGTTGAGACGATCAAATTCTTGGCCACACCTTAGCAGGCCTAAGGGAATCTTGCCACACTTTTTTGAGTCAAAGACGTGTGGAGTCCAATTTGTTGGAAAAGAATCTTGACACAATTGTGCCTACAACCAAACAATTGCCAATATGGTCCAGCCCGGCTAACATTGGGCGTAACAAACTATGGCAAAGTGTTGCTGGTAACCAAACACCCCCCTCCCCCTCCCTAAATTGTACTCCCTCCATCCTAATATAAGTGCAATCTAGTATATGACATATTCTAATAATACGAATTTAGACAGCCCTTTCGTCCTAATATGAGTGCAACCTAGTACAAATATGACATATATTAGGATTACGAATCTGTGCAGACAATTGTTCAGATTCGTAGTATTAGGATATACCATATATGTACTAGGTTGCACTTATATTGGGTCGGAGAGAGTAAGTGCTAGTATTCCATTCATTTCATAATATAAGGCACAACTATTTTTTAGATGTTTCATAATATAAGGCATGCATGAATGCATGCCATTAACTAGCACATCTTTCGCACTATGATTTTTTTTTAAATCCTCCATCCTCAAAATCTTTAATCCTAGAGAGAATCTATTCTATACAATTGAGTTTGTTCGAGTTCAACGATTTACCATCGACATTGTCGATTTATATTATATACCAACGACTTTATCAATCGTTCATCAATACGCCATTGGGATATGTCTTCTTTTCAAAAGTACCCAAATTCCTCTTATGGACATATAAGATTAACAATTGATTTATCTCATTAGGAGTTTAAAAAATATAAAAAATTTTATGTGACCTCCTTGCATAACATGGAAATTTGTATAGAAGTTTCGAGTTTTTATATTTCTATTTTTTAAAAAATATAACTTATCTATTATATGCTATATAAAATACTTTTTATTGTTGTTTTAATATAAATCATCTTTCATACAATGCATAAGATATTTTTATGATATTATCTCTTGCGTAAGCAAATTCTCTATCATATACCACATAAAAATATTTTTTCTAAAATCTAAATATACCATAAAAAAATTTCAAACTTGTATACAAACTTCCATATTGTGTAAGGAGGCCACTACAAAGTTTTCATATTTTTTTAAAACTTTAGATGAGATAAATCAATTGTTAATCTTGTATGTTCGTAAGGGTATTTTGGATATATTTGAAAAGAAGGCCCAACCCAATGACATATTGTAGAAGAATTGATAAAGTTACTGGTATATTATAAAAAGAGATAATGTCGATGGCAAATCGTTGAACTCGAACAAACTTAATGGTATAGAATATATTCTCTTTTAATTCTATTGGTGCATACATTATAGTTATTTGGATGATCTAAACTATGAGATGATAATAGAGTCTTATATTCTTATATTTTAGAATGGAGACAGTATCTTGAGATGAGGAAGGAAGTACTACTCCATCCAAAAGAACGAATTCATAGCTACGAACCTGAACACATATATATATCCAGATTGGTAGGTAGGATTGGTTTTTTCTGGTACGGAAGGTTATGCATTTTAGGACGAAGGGCCCCACTCCTTTGTCGGCCACGTTGCATCCAATCAAACCTAACGTCACGGCATACCACACCGGCACACAGTAAACACAAACCAGGAAAAAGATAACGAGAGAATAGGAATCTGCGCACCTTGCCAATCTCCACAACAATCACGTGCTCAAACAAAGGCACCAACACCCAAACTAACTTTTTTTTTTCCCTCGCAACTTGCGATTACAAAAATCGAAACTTTTTCGTCTTAAAGATAATCCCCACCATTATTGTTATTGTTAGTCTCGTGCGTCCCTTATATAGAACCTGAACCGCCGGACGGAGGAGGAAGACAACTCAGAGACAGACAAGGACGAGCAACCCGCAACCGCGACCAGAGGAGAAGACTCGATCGAATCGAATCGAAGCGGGAGGATTTCGGGGGTCCGTGACTCCGTTCGGAGAAAAGGATTCAGCTTGTGGGCAGAAGAAGAAGAAGAAGATGGCTTCCGCGAAATCCGGGGAGAGGGGGAGCAGCAGCTTCGCCATGGCCTGCAGCCTGCTCAGCCGCTACGTCAGGCAGAACGGCGCAGCCGCCGGCGAGCTCGGCCTCGGCATCAGAGGTCACCTCCCTTTCTTTTTCTTTTTTTCCTTCTGCAAAGTCTGGATCTTTATCTTTACGGGTTTTGGGTGAAAAAAACCTCCCCTAGGAAGGTTTCCGTGAGATCTGGTCTAGTTCTTCGAGCTTTGGAAGCGAGAATTCCCCCATGTAGAATTTTATTCGGCTTAAACCAGTCTCAACCATTCCAATTCTGCGCATCTAGCTAGCTGTAAAATTCGCAACATTTTTTTTAAATCTGATGTTGTGAATCTGGGCTGAAAAACTATGTCATATCATTTTTCAGGTGAAGCCGATGCGAACAAGGGGAAGGAGACCATGGAGCTGTTCCCCCAGAATTCCGGGTTCGGCTCTGAAGCTGCTGCCGTGAAGGAGACCCCGGATGCGAGGTACTCAACACAATCTTTGTTCGAATTGCTTCAGCTATCAGTTCATACGGTTCCTTTAGCTGTAGTCACATGATAGGAGAAACCAATAGCAACAATCCAACCAAACAAAGTAGTGGTTGGTAGGTAGTGTGGAGGAGGAGGAGAACATCTTGCCTTGTCCTGACCAGATCTTAGTGCTGCCAGGAGCTGAGCTGGTCAGCTCTCGGGTCATGGTCTGAAATCTAATTCGTGTGTAAAATGGATATAATTTAGTTTAGAGTTCTAGGGATGGATTTCGGTGTGATGGAAAGGTTCGATATTTAATCCAATATAGAACTGGTGCTATGCAAGTCTGCAGTTCCTTCTTCTGTTTTTTGTGCGAGTCGTTTTTTGTGCGAGTCAACGATGTATGTCTCGCAACTAATAACCACGGGTTTCAGACTTAGTGGGCTCGCACGATCCGAAAGTGAAAATGTTCTGACTCGAGTGATTCATGAACAAAAAACCCAAATATTAGTTGGTACTTACTACAAGTTATTCTTCTGAACATATGCGTAGATGGCGGGTGCTTGCTGACCGATATCAGTTAGTAAATAGTTTCTGTTGTGTAAGCTTTAAAATTGGTTAAATGGTTGTGTTTGTCTAAGCTTTCTTGTATTTCCGTTGTCAGGGAGCAAGAGAAGCGCCAATTAACCATCTTCTACGGTGGGAAGGTCCTGGTGTTTGATGACTTCCCAGCTGAGAAGGCCAAGGACCTGATGCAGATGGCCAGCAAGAGTTCCTCCACAGCGCAGAACTGTGTCCTTCTTCCATCTTCCGCTACTGCAACCGTTGCCGACAACACTAAGGTGTCTGCTGTACCAGCCCCAGCAAGTGCACTTCCTGTTGCTCAGGCCAATGCCCCGAAACCTGTTCGTCCAAATGCTGCTGGTAACTACTCTAACCTCGGCTGTTATTGCTTGCTCTGAATGATGGAATATACTTGTAGCATGTGAATCCATTTTATTGTACTAACTGTTCTTCAAATCCTGCAGATCTGCCTCAGGCTAGGAAGGCGTCGCTTCACCGGTTCCTCGAGAAAAGAAAGGATCGGTAGGTTATGCTTGCTATCATGGCAGCACAAAGTATAGTCAAATTCTACAATTCACAATTCTAGATTTTGGATCTAACTTTTGCTGCTCCTTTATTTCAGCCTTCAGGCTAAAGCACCCTACCAGGGTTCCCCTTCAGATGCTTCTCCGGTCAAGAAGGAGCTGCAGGAGAGTCAGCCATGGCTTGGGTTAGGACCTCAGGTTGCCGCTCCCGACCTGAGCTTGCGGCAGGAATCGAGCCAATGAATCAATGCTCAATTCTGAGATGCCCCTCTCATCAGATGATTCAGTCATAGAGGTTATCACAACTCTTGAATTGGGTGTTTTGTGTTAGGAGATGATCCGATGACAAGGCGATGTTCTTCTGATATATATACTAGGATTGAATGTAAAGAAAGTAGCTGATGATTATGACCAGTAATCTGAATCAAATTGCTATGATAGAAAGCAGAAGATTCTGTAATCAGTACAACCCAAGAAACCTCATTTGTACCAATTCAATATCGTTTTGCTTTGGCATTGCCATGTAGAAGCAAAGCAAATGTACTGCTAATATATACACATCACAAGATTGATTGTTATTCACTTACGCCTGTTTCCCCCCCCCCCCCCCATTAACAGGATGCATCTCCTTTTGCTGTTTCCAACATGCATTCTTGTATGAATTTTGAAGCTCTATTCAGAAACTAGAATGTTATTTGGACATGCTGAGTAGTACTAGTGTACCATGATTTGCAAGCCTTTGCTTGGCCTCAGAGGTTAGAAGACAGACAGCTCAGAGAGAGAGAGAGAGAGAGAGAGAGAGAGAATTGTGGCTCTTGGCTCTTGCACGACCTGAAAACTTGATGGAGACGAGGCACGCACACACACACACTTGTGCATACTCCGTCCAACACAGGAAGAAAACGTGTTTTGACTCAGAGGCAGCATCTGCCACTTGCACAAATGAATAGAGAAAAAAAAAAGATAAAGATAAAGATAAAAGAAAAGGAGAAGAAAGTGATGTATAACGCGGCAACGGCAGGGCGTCCGGGGAACACGCAAAAATGCGCACGTCGCTCTCCGGCTACATTCAGCAGCAGCCCATGGTCGGAATTTTTTAAAAATTATTTTTTTGGGATGAAATGACTCTCCATTTTTTTTTCTCCAAGGGAAAAGAGAAAAAAAAATAAAATCATTTTGGTGACATTGAAGAAAAACTGCATGTTCTGCGCATTTTAAAACCGGGACCAAACCGGGTTCTGCCGGACAAACAGTGGACGATCCACGTACATTAGAGTAAAGCTCACGTTCGGAAATGAAGAATAGTAGTATTTTAACATGGCTCTTGCCTGAGACTACGGTTGCCTGAGACTACGGGTGTGTTTAGTTAACGCCAAAATTAAAAAGTTTGGTTGAAATTGGAACGATCTGACGGAAAAGTTAAAAGTTTGTATGTGTAGGAAAGTCTTGATGTGATGAAAAAGTTGAAAGTTTGAAGAAAAATTTTGAAACTAAAATCGGTCTACAGATGCATGGTGGCCGGCAGGAAAGCAGTTTGTCATCCAATATAATGCGAGCCCATTTGCTCGTGCCCACTTCCAGCAACTTTATTCATTTCGCGTAACGTGCATGACCACTCTGCCAATTGCCATGCCAGCCTATGATAATTCATGGGTCAATTGCATATTTGCCACTGGATTGAACAGGTATTGTGGATCTACCACTAAAAAAACTGTAATTGCAAATTTGCCATTAAAAACAGTTTGAACCCAACATAACTGCCACTGGACTCACAGCTTAGACTAACACCGTTATATGGCTGGTTTTCATGAAAATTAGGACAAGAATGCCCCTGCCCATGAAATTGTAATATTGACAGCATTTTGGCATCAATAAAACACCATTTGAGACAACAAGCAAGAGAACATAGTCAACTAGCGTCATTCTGGCATGAACACGGTAACATAATCAAACTAAATGACAATAGTTGAGGTTCACATCATATGATTCATCCTCACATCCAAAAGACAACTACATCTGACTAATTCAACCAACACAGTTAGAGGTTTACATCATATGATTCATCCTCACATCCAAAAGACAACTACATCTGATAGTAGTGTTCTACATCATATCAATTTGATAGGACAACATGGTCCAGACCATTAGAACCTTCCCAAAAGACAACCGCATCAAATGGATGCCGCAACAGAACCTTTCTTCTCCTTCCCCTTCCCTCTTGCTCTTGGTGGTCTTGTTGACACATCATTTGCATTGCCACTGCAACAACAATTCTATAAGTCAGTACCTAAATCTGAATACAAGATGCAAATAGATTGCAAATGAGGATGGAATTAACTAGTAAGAAATACTAATTACATGGATGATCCAGTAGTATTTTTTTTGTTTGACCTAGGTGTTGCACCAGGAGTATTGCTTCCTTGATCTGAGGATGGTGTTGATGAAGATGACCTTTTCCTGTATAAAATCTGGAGTGAGCAGCCAATTTACAAATGAAAGGAAAAAAAAAAGATGACAAGTACCTTTTGCTAGCTATAGGTCCTCCCTGACATGTCTTTGCAAAGTGGCCTTTGTCACCACATTCAGGGCATGTCCTCTTCTTTCTACAGCCAGACTCATCTGAAGCTTTAATCCTGTGTGTCCTAGGCCTTCCAGGCTTTCTCCTCAACTTTGGCCTCATCAATTTGAAACCAGGATCTACAAATGTCCACATATTCTTTGATGTCATTGGGTTCCATATCCCAGCATATGTTTGCCTCAATCTTTGCACTGAATAGCACTCATCCACATAGCCATTCATGTCAGGAAACCTTAGAGAGCCTATGAATGCCAATGCATGGTTACAAGGTTTCCCACTTACTTGCCAGGCTCTACAAGAGCATGTATGAGCCTTTAGGTTCACTGCATGCCTCCATACCACTCCCTTATTGGACACCACAGAAACTTCAGCTAAATCATCGCAATTACTCCTTACCACATTGTAATCTTTTAGATTCTTGCTCTGTTCATTCAGTGTCTTAATAATAGATGGAATTATTCTTCCTTCCATTTTGCTTGCAAGTTGGCTCCTCAAGTGAAATTTGTCAATTATCATTTGCCTAAGTGTGTCAAATAAGTCCACTATGTGTAATTCCTTGATCTTCATCACCCAATTGTTGAATGACTCAGAAAGATTGTTGTTGATGTAGTCCACCTTTGAAAGCTCTGAGAATTTGCTCCTACTCCAAAAAAATGGGTGATTGGTTTTTAAATATGCAATAGCTTCAGGAGATTTCTCAGCAATCTTGTTCATGTGATAGTTGTACTGCTGGCTGGTGTAGCACTTAGCAGCAGGCCACATGTTTTCACCAAAAAGTGGTCCATGGTACTGCTTCTTGAAGTTCTTCCACAGGTGTCGCATGCACTCTCGGTGCTCAGCAGTTGGATAGACATCACTAACAGCTCTCTCTAGTCCTTTCCCAGCATCTGTGCTGATGGCTAGCCCAGGAGGATTACCAATAGCATTCTTCAAGTTCTGCACGAACCATGTCCAACTCTCCGTTGTCTCAGCTTCTATCACACCAAATGCAACAGGAAAAAGCCAGTTGTTTCCATCTATTGCAACAGCAGCTGCCAGCTGTCCTCTATGCTTCCCTGTCAAGTGTGTTGAGTCCATTGCAATATATGGCCTACAACCTTGTAGGAAGCCATCAATGCAAGGTTTCAGAGCTATGAACAGCCGCCTGAAGCATACTTGGTCTTCATGAATCTCGGTATCAATATCGACAATACTTCCAGGTTGTGCCTTCAAAAGCTCCTCTCTAAAAGTGGGCAGCAATGCAAAGCTGTCTTCCCACTTCCCAAATATCTTCTCAAGGGCCTTCTCTTTGCCTCTAAAAACTTTGTCATATCCTATTGTAAATTTGTACTTCTTCTCTAGCTTGACCTTCAATGCACTAGCTCCTAGAGTTGGAGTCTCCTTCAGCCAATCTATAACTCTTTCAGCAACCCAGCTATTTGTTGCCATGGCAGCCCCAGTCTTATTTATGGAACAACAATTGTGGGCAGGCCTATTTACCTTGACCTGCACATATAACAATGTAATTATCAGCTTTTTATGCATCAAATTTAACCATGAAATGATAAAATAATTAACTGAACATTTCAGCACAAATTTACCTTGCAGCCATAGTATTTCTTACTTGTAGAGGCATGAAACCTCCATTTACAACCCTGCTCTTTTTTCTTGCAAAAAGCTCTGAATCTATGCTTGTCCTTTTTCTCAGTTTCAAAAGAATAGTCATAGATTATAGCATGGTGTGTAACAGCTTCCTTGCAAGTAGTAGTATCTGCGAACACCTCTCCTTCATCAATACATGGGTTATCAAAATCATATGCAAACACATGCTCAAGGTCAGAGTCATTGTCATCGTCATCATGTATTTGGTCATCAAGATCATCACAATCATATTCAGAGTCAGAGGAGGCTGCTGCATCACTATCATAGCTGCTTTCACTATCAACCTCTAGTGGGTCACAATTTGGGCATAGCTGGGGCTCCTCCTCTTCGTTCTCTTCCTTCTCATCATCCCGAACCTCTTCATCATCGTCATCGGCTTGGCTCCTCCTCTTTGCACACTTTTTTACAACCTTCTTTGCACTCTTTTTAATAGGGGATGTGGCTTCATCATCAGGATGTGAAGTGCTCTCCGGATGGGTGGTGCTCTCATTTTGGGTGGATGGTACTGGTTGGATGGAGTTCTCAAGATGGTTGTAACTCTCAGGCAGTGTTAGTGGCGTAGCATCAACCAATAGGTCAGTAAATAGTGGTGGAGTACATGGAATAGAATACCTCACAGATGGGTGGCACCTTCTTTTAGTTGGTGAAGGTTCAACTTGCAATGGACCACCAAAATCATTGACAATGGCATGAATATTGACAACCCCGTGCTGATTACCCTTATCCAACCAATCTAGCAATTGTGAATCTGTGGTTATCTCTACTTTACTCTGAGTTGACACATCACCCAATTTCCAAAAGCTGATGTATTGATTTGGCCCCCAGTTAAAATTTTCCCCTACATCGTCAACTAGCGCAAGCATCGAATACCTATCCCTTTCGATCGAAATTTTGACATTGTTTCCCTTAACATATGTCCTTTGACTCAAAAGCGATGTGGTAAAATAAGACTCAACCTTAATAATGGCTGTCAAGAAGCCTTGGTCATTCCTACAGGATAAGTAAAACAATGGAGAAATATTCTAGCAGCTCAACGAGGAATAGATGAAAAACCTACATCTAAATATACAGGGACTGAATAACTAATGCATGGAAGACCTATCTAACAGAAATATCATACCAATGTAAAAACATATCCAGCTTAAACTACTTTTAACAAAGTTGTAAACATATGGCTACTTTCTTATATTACTTCATGCTACCATTGTTTGATGATTAATTTATTAAACTCACTATCTATTAATTCAAATAAGCACCTAAGGTGGAGAGGCCGTTGTTTAATTACAATGCACAGCATATTCACACAAAGAGATATTGCTAATGCTTGATTATATCCTGAAGATACGCAAGCAAGATATGGTTAGCTATGCACATGCTAAGGTTGCATAGCAAACCAGCAAATTCGGACTCTTGAACCAGTTGAACAAGGATTAAAAACATTCAAAAAGAATTCCTCAAAACACACACATATATTGTTGGTAACATCCCTACATGATAGATAGAACAAGTAGGTCACAAGCATAAGTATAGATTATATACCTTTCCATGGTGGTCCTGCTGCTACTGCCCACAGTAGCCACCATGCTGCTTGAAGCAGCTGATGCTGCAGCCTGCCGTCGATGCCGACACTCGCTGCAGCCGCGTGCCGCGGCCGCGCGCTGCAACCTGACGCCGCCCGACGGAGCCGCCGCAAGCGAGGTAGCCGCGCCGCAGCCTGACGCCGCCCGCTGCAGGTGCCGCCCCAAGCCGCCGCAAGCACCGCAGCCTGATGCCGCCCGCTGCAGCCGTCGCCCCAAGCTGCTGCTTGACTTGCTCTACTCGCCGAAATCCATCTGCACCTCTTCCATTGGCATCTAATACTTCAAAGCGACCGATTTTTGGTTGATTTGCTCCTAGTTTGAGAGAAGGGATGAGAGGATCTGGGGTTTAGGGTTCGTCGTGCGAGAGGAGAGGAGGAGTTCTGATGCGGTAGAGTTGGGGAAGAACACGGATAAGGTTGAATCTGGCAAGGGCAATATGGTCTTATCGCGTTGCCTTGTTTTTTAATTTAATTACATCAATTAATTTTGTCATCTTACTCATACGGAATGGAACGGTGATGGCATACGGAATCCACGCACACTGCTTTTGGTGGTATATTTGCAATTCGTGATTTTATAATGGTTATTTCGAGTTAAGGAGTGAAAGTAGTGGCAAATATGCAATTCTCCCATAATTCATCACATGCTGCAGATCTTATATATTTCCTTTTTTTCTAATGTACGACATTATTGATTTTTAAGATACATTTTGATCATCTTCAAAAAAATCAATGTAATTATTATTTATTTTATCATGACTTAATTTATTGTTGAAGGTTCTTTAAACACTATTAAAAAACACACACACAGATCGGTACTATAGATGCCAGAACAGTTAAAACCGACACTTATAATGTTTTTTCCACCTACACCGGCTGAAAATACAAAAAATGACACCTTTAAGTGACTATAAGTACCAGTTCTAGAGAAAAACGACACATATAATATAAGTGTCGCTTTTTTTTTAAAAAAAAGCCGATACCTTTAATATATTATATTTAATATATTATAGGTGTCGGTTAACTTAAAAAACCGGCTCCTATAATATGTTATAGGTACTGGTTTTTCAAAAAAAAATGACAATCTATAAAACGAGCCGAATCGAACCGAGAGAGCCGGTTTTTGTTTTTTTAATCGCACGAGACGGGTGCATAAAAACGCCGTGGAAGGCGAAGGGGGCGTGGCGTCCTTATCCACTCGCCCCCTCCTCTCACCCTCTCACTCCCTCTCCTCCCCTTTCTCGTCCCCGCCCCCTCCCCTTCTTGTCTCCCTCGTTAGCAGTAGAGGAGGCATCAGCAATGGCGTCAGCAGCTCCCGCGGGTTGGATCCAGCGGTCCTCAACCCCCTCCCCCTCCTCTTCTCCATCCAGCCCCAAGCTTCTCCCACATTTCTAATGGTGGCGGTGGCATCGGCGGCTCCCGCTTGTGGATCCGGAGGAGGCGGCTGCGGTGGCATTTCTGGTGGTCCTCTACTCCCTCCCCCTCCCTCTTGGCCCCCAAGCTTCTCTTGTGGTGGCGACGATGGCATCGACGCTCCTGCGGGCGGATCTGGTGGAGGCGGTGGTGGAGGTGTTTTCGGCGGGCGGATCCATCAGTCCTCTACCCCTCTCCCTTCCCCTTCGTGCCCAAGCTTCTCCCGAGGCCGTGGCGGTGGCATTGGTGCTCCCGCGGGCAGATCCGGCGGAGGTGGCGGCGACAGCGTTTCCGACGAGCGGATCTGGCGGTCCTCTTCCCCCTCCCCCTTCGTCCCAAGCTTCTCTAGCGGTGGATCCGACGGCGGCGGCTTCTCCCACGGATCCGCCGGTGGTGACATCAGCAGCTCCCGCGGGTGGATCCGTTGAAGGGGATGATGTTGTTGTTTGTGTTGCTGTTGTTGATGTGATGATGTTGTTTTTGTGATAATGACTGGATTGATTTTGAGGGCCAAGTGGAGGGAATGCGCTCGATGCATCGTTTCGCCGACCCTTTTTTTCCGGGGGAGAGGATTCGAAGGTGCCGCTATCTGGGTGCCAGTTGGGAAATCCGGCACCTAAGGCCGGTTCCCAACAGGAACCTATCGCCTATTCTTTAGTAGTGAAACATTTGCTTAGGCCGGGTTTAGTTTCCATATTTTTCTTCAAACTTCCAACTTTTTCATCATATCTAAACTTTCCTACACACATAAACTTCCAACTTTTTTCTTCAAACTTCCAATTTTAGTTAAACTTACAATTTTAGCGTGGAACTAAACACACCCTTATTTTGTTTGTTTGCACTATTTTTTATAATAAAAATGATAAATATTTGTTATATAAGTCAACGACATCATATTTATAATATATTTATAAAAAACGGAGCTAGTATATTCTTTTGTGATTTCTTGGCAAATTCCAACCTATGAATCACCCATGGCTCAACGTACGCCGTAGATCCAACTTTTTGCAACCGTGCTACGGCCTTCATCATAGTTCCTTAATTTGTTTATTTGAGTTTATTTGATTTGATTTGAATAGACCTTGTGACTAAAATGCTCGAGCTCAGAAACAAATACCTGGTTTATGCTGCATGTCCAACAGTCCAAGAATCGACAACGAACTGATATATGAATTTGACACATTCGCCCCTACCTCTGGTACACATGGCTAATATTGGGAGCATATATGGGAATATGGCTTTACCTGGCATATTCTAGACCTAGGGATGAGCCCGTATGAATATAGCCATGTGTTTGATATGATAACCCATATCCTGCAGCTCTTTAATTAAAAAAAATGTGGCATTATTCTATAATTATACGGACGAAAACTATAATTGGTAAAATTGTCTGCCAATTTCATTTGGTACTAGCATGGCGTACCACCCATAGGCATAAAGAGTTCTTTATATATAATCATGGGACGACATGGTAAGAGTTATTTATATCTACTATATACAAATATCTCTAAGTGAAAAGTGAATCCCACGAATGCTAATTGGCGCGCGCGTTGCCGGTGTGCACTTCCGACCCACAAGGCCCATGGCACGCGCGCTTCTCTTCTCTTTTTTTTTTCGCAGTTTTTGCTACCGTCGTTTCTTTTTTTTTTCAGTTCGCTACCGCACTTGTATGAGAAAAAATCGTAATTAGTTTACTAGTGATTAGTTTCTTTACTAGTAAATTTTAAAATCTTAATTAAAAAATTTTCAATTTTTGGACCTGAAAGTTTTAAAATCTCGAGTTGAAAGTTTTAAAATCTCGAGTTAAAAATTTTCAAATCTTAAGTTGAGAGTTTTCGAATTTTTTGAATCTAGACTTGAAAGTTTTCAAATCTCAAGTTGAAAGTTTTCAAATTTTTGAAATCTAGACTTGAAAGTTTTTGAATCTCGAGTTGAAAGTTTTCGAATGTAAGTTTAAAGTTTTCAAATTTGAGTTGAAAGTTTTTGAATCTGAGTTGAAAGTTTCAAATTTTGAGTTTAAAATTTAAATTTTAAATCGAAAATTTTTAAATATAACTTAAAAGTTTTCTATCTGTTAGTAAAAAAATCTCCAAAAAAGAATCTTCAGAATCTTTCCTAAACTACCATTAGTACTACCTCTGTCCCAAAATAAGTGCAGCCATAGATATCCGTGTTTAGCGTTTTGACCATTCGTGTTATTTAAAAAATTTATGAAAAATATTAAAAAAATTAGTCTCACGTAAAATACTATTCATATTTTATCATCTAGTAACAATAAAAATACTAATCATAATCCTTTTTCAAATAAGACGAATGATCAAACGTTGGACATGAACAATGCTAAAACTGTATTTATTTTGGGATCGAGGGAGTAAGAGGGAGTAACTAATAGAGGTAAAGGGGAGTGCGCGCTAGCTAGCCGCCCCCACGTCATCTAGCCAACAATGGCCATGGGATTTACAAACGACAAAGTAGCGAGATGAATCACATGCCTTTGAAACAACGGGCCTTCGTCCAGAAGGACAGAAAAAACAGAGAGAAGGAAGGGAACAGAGTGAGAGAAAAAAGGAATAAGATCACTTTGACTCCCTCAACTGACCCCGAATCTAAATCGTATCCCTCAACCGTAATTCCAGAAATCTTGACCTCCAAAGTTACAAAACCGGTGCAATTTGACTCCCTCGGTGATTTTGGAGGGTGGTTTCGCTGACGTGGCGCACACGTGGCAGTGTTGACCTAGTCTTTGCCCCACGTGGCATTGACGTAGCGCTGATGTGGAATTAAAAATAAAAAATATACGGGCCCATTTGTCATTCACAAAAAAATTGTGGGACCCACTGGTCCACATGTCATCCTCCCTTATCCCTTCTTCCTCCTCCCTTCTCTATCTCTCCCTCTTTCTCTTCATCCGAGAGCAGCGTCCGGATCGGCGGCGGTGACGGCAGGCGATGGATGGAGCGGCGACGGCATATAGTGGGGGTCAAACCACCCCACAAGCTTTGGCGAGATTTAGAACACGGCGGAGGACTTCGCCGTCGCCGAGATGCCGCAACCACCGTCGTCGGTGCGCACGAGGAGCGTCACCTCCGTCGCGCTCCCGACGCATGGACATGGCGGCAGCTGCCGCTGCGTGCCGCTCTCCCCATTCGACGCGTACTAGGTCGCGCTGCCGCCTGTCCGCCGCCCGTCCACCGCGTCTTCCTCTTCCCATCCCTGCCGCCACCGCCGCCACCACCGTTCGGAGACGTCGTCCGCGCGCTCAGGGACTCCCTCAAGGCGGTGCTCCCGGCGTTCTACCCCTTCGCCGGTGCGCTGGTCTATTCGCTGGAGGAGGAGGAGGGGTCGCTGTCCATCGTCGTGGAGGCCGGTGGCAGCGTGGCGTTCATGGAGGCCGAGATGGACCTCGACTTCAAGAGGCTCGTCGACGAAAGGGAGGAGCACGATGAGGACGCGCTGCGGCAGCTCATCCCGGACATCCGTGGGGATGAGCTCCCTGCGCCCGTCATGGCAACGCAGTTGATGGAGTTCGTCGGCGGTGGCGGGGGCGTGCGGTGCACCACGCGGCGGTGGATGGCCGCGGCCTGTGGCGATTCTTGGAGATGTGGTCCCCCTCCGCCGCTACAGCGGCCGTGGCCACAGGGATGCGGCACTCCTCCCTCCTCGGCGTGTCCCACCCCTTCAGCTCCTCCTCCATCGCCGCCACCTCCTCACCGTGCTCCATCTTCACCTCCATTAAACTTCTCTCCTCCGGCCTCTCAACGCTTGAAGCTACTGCCGTTGCCGCTTCAACTAGCCATGAACCCTCGCAGGAGTTGGTAGAGGAGGAGATGGCCAAGGACGGGGAGGGGGGAAGAAGGGATAAGGGAGGATGACATGTGGGTCCAGTGGGTCCCACAAATTTTTTTTGAATGACAAATGGGCCAGCATATTTTTTTTTATTTTAATTCCACATCAGCGCCACGTCAATGCAACGTGGTACAAAGATTAGGTCAACACTGCCACATATGTGCGCCATGTCAGCGAAACCACCCTCCAAAACCACCGAGGGAGTCAAATTGAACCGGTTTTGTAAGTTCGGGGGTCAAGATTTCTGGTACTGCGGTTGAGGGATATGATTTAGATTCGGTGGTCAGTTGAGGGAGTCAAAGTGATCTTATTTCGAGAAAAAAAGCTAGAGAATGCTGCGCGCCGGGCGTCCGACGTCAGACAAAAAATCGGACGCCTCGACGCCCGCACCTCCTGCCACTCTAGTTTTAAAATGATTTTTCTCTTAAACTAATTATCCAATCTATGATCCAATCATACCGTTATATTCGTTACAATTAAATCTTTACAACAAGACCACACATGATTATATTTCGACAAAAAAATATTTTTGCTTCTCTGTTGATATTTTTTTGAATGTTGCATATGATCTCTTTTGATGTTTCAACCAGTAGTTTTACGATGTTTCAGCTAGTGTACTTGCGATATTTCAATATGTACGGATCAAATGTTGCAGTGGATTTTGATATTATGGAACGCGCCGTTGCAACAAATCACCCACATATTTTGGAAACCCCCTATAAAGGGAATTTGGTTTATTTTTTGTTCCAAAAAAAAATGTTTCACCTAGTGTACTCACAATATTTCACTATGTACAGATCTAATGTTGCAGTGAACTGAAATATTCCATTGCAACAAAAAAACCCACATATTTTGGAAACCCCATATCAAGGGAATTCGTTTCATTTTTTGTTCCACCGAAAAATGTTTCACCTAGTGTACTTATAATGTTTCACTATGTATGGATCAAATGTTGCAGTGAACTGAAACATTCTTTCGCTATTTGCTGAAACATTATTTTTATATAAGGTGAAAAAACACCCGATTTAAAAGAGTGAAACATTTTCGATCTATTTAGTGAAACAATTCCGATATACCTAGTGGAACATCGTGCAACATTTAAAAATAATTCAATAATAAGCTAATTTTTTTTTTCGTCGGAATATATCCATGTGTGGTCTTGTTTTGAAGATTTAATTGCAATGAATTTAATGTTGCAATCGAATCATGATTTGGATAAATAATTTAAGAGAAAAATCAGTTTAAAGTAGTTTTTGCACGTAAATCGGGTGCTGATGTCATGCTGACGTCAGCGTCCAATTTTTCTCCAAACATCGGACATCCGAACCGGAGTTGCCTCCAAAAAAGCTCCAAGCATCTCGGTCCACTAAATGGGCCTAATGGGCTGACTGGGTACATCGCTCGGAGCGAACTATGTAGCCCAAAAGTACGATGGATTTTAGGAGTGTTAAACTGTTAGTTTGTTGAACATTCTAAACTGTAATACTACCTCCGTCCCAAAATAAGTGCAGTCGTGGGTATCTGTGTCCAATGTTTGACCGTCCGTCTTATTTAAAAAATATAAAAAAGTTAGTCACATAAAGTATTATTCATGTTTTATCATCTAATAACCATAAAAATACTAATCATAAAAAAATTTAAATAAGATGAACGGTCAAACGTTGGATATAAATAGTGCAAAACTTACACTTATTTTGAGACGGAGAGAGTACTTGATTTCCGTAGCGGCTAGCTTCACGGTCACACGCATTCACACACATTTTTTTTTCTGCTGGATTCTTAGTGCACACATTTTGTAAAGGTTGAATGGCCCTTTACATCCAATGGACAATCAATTAAATTTAAAACAGAAGAGAAAAGTTAAAAAAAATCCTATGTATAAAACCTTTAGCGACATTTCAAATCAATCAAAATAAAAAATAACATCTTAAAATAACTTAGGGGTTATTCAAATTGTAGCCAAAATAAACCATACCAAATCTAGCAAGTTGACAATATTACCAAAATTTTGGCAGGATTTATTGTGTATTTACTAAAGTTTGGCAACAAACTAAATGTAGGCACTTTTTTTTTCCAGCAACTTTACCAAAGAAAATGGTATGGTTGAAAATGACATCAATTGAAACATCCCCTTATATTATATTTGTTATTATGCTTTGTGTAATTTTACTCATACGCATACCCAAAATATTTAATCCTAATTGATCCTTGGCCGATATATACAACTATATATTCAAGTTCAAATAATAACCTGGTAAAAATTGAAAACATAGCAGATTGTATAGAGTTACTTAAAATTGATTATTCTGAACCCTAAAAGTAATCAAAACTGTGTATTTGTACAAAATGTATGTCCATGTAATTAATTCATTTTCTATCAATTAATTAGAGACATGCTAGAGATATAAATTTACTGCTAGCATCTTTAGTAAAATTTATTATAATAAATTATCCTTTTTTGAATGTGTTTGTTAATATAGGTGACATGCATACAAGTAAATTCAATAATTCCGGCTTTTACGATAAATTTCACAGGCTCGCATAACTACAATAAATTACTTAGGGTGTGTTTGGATAATAGGAAATGTGAGGTGGGATTGGAATTGGGAAATGAATGAAGGGCTACGATTAAATGGAAGAGGGAGAATGAATGGTTAGGATTTAAAGAAGTCCTTTGGTGGGTGGGAAACCATTTCGCTATCCCACTAGCCAAACAGGGCCTTATTGTTATTGTTATGATAGTGTTTTATTACGAATCAAGATAAATATATTTTGGACTAATAATACACTCACTGTTTTGTTTAGCCGAAAGATAGGCATGGGATTTTAGGTGAGTAAATCGTTAATACAAATCTAAATTAAATTGCTACAAACAACATTGTCAGGGTTATGGATACCACATACCTAATAGTAGTTGACTAAATCTCGGCAGGACCCACCACATACCATGTCCTATACGGAAACAACCTGCAGATATAGGAGGAGTTCCGGATAAGGAAAGACAACCAGAATTCTACATGGAAACGACAAGGATTACTCGAATTATATCCATATTGGTTTCCCTAGTTCTACTTGAACAAGGGGACACCTATGGGTATAAATACAAGGACCCCTAGGAGGAGAGGGGACACAATCAACTAGTAAAATGTAGCAATCTCTCGCACCTTAACTTCAGATGGTCGAGGTACGACTACAGAAATAACGTAGCGGTCCTCGCACCGTGACTTCAGATGGTTGAGTGTAACACCCTGAAAATTCGACCGACAAAATCAAAACTCTAAAAATACGGATTTTCAAAAACTTTTTAAACTAATTGCATCATGCCGATCTTATTCGTCTATTTTATCTGGATTTGATCTCGAAGATTATTAATCGTGAGTAAAGAATAGTTAATTAGGAATAAACCTTAAAAAAAAATTGGTAAAAGAAATACAAAATAAAGGTTAGGTGGGATAGAAATAAATAAAATATTATCGTGACCATATTTGGATCAATTAAATTTTAATACGATGGAATAAGAATTAACCCTAATTAAAACTCAAATAAATTATATAAAAATAAAATATGAGTAATATTAATCTAGGGTGAATTCATTAGTTAAAATAACACAAATATTGAGTAAAATGCATATATGCAAAATTAGGGATTGTGGAATCAAATTTATATGGAAAATACACTAAAATCGGGATAAATAGGAAAAGTCACTGTTCATTGCACCTAAGGTGTTCGATGCGGTTGTCGCGACCGAGAAAATTGCCTTTTCCCGAACGCTAGTGTATTAATCCCCGTCCCAGGAAAAGCCGGGGTACACCACACAAACATGTTATAAAAGACACATCTTTATTATATCGATAATATTTACATTATTACAAAGGCGCTTCAGGCCTGGCAATCAAAAATAAACAGCAGCGGACAAGCGGGCCTACGGCTCCATCTTCACAGGCGCTCAACTGGGGTATAAGCCAGGACTCCACCTAAGACTTCTTCTCCAAAGCTTCTCTTACTGAAGGGGGGGGGAAAGATTGAGCAAGAGTGAGTACAACCACAGTACTCAGCAAGCCACACCGGAGATGCGTAATTAATGCAAGGGAGTACAAGGGGATAATAATATAGGGGTTAAGTTTTGCAGTAAACAGCATTTATAAGTCACTTAGTTGCCCAAAGCTATTTTATAAAGACGATCCTAGAGCTACACAAAATTATTAATCAAGGCCGTGAACCCTCACGAACCTGCCTTAACCCAAGGCCTACGATGATTCAGACCGAACTGGCAACCCGACCCTGGGTCCCAGCTCGTCCCAAGCCAACCCAGGCCAACCATTCCACATTTTAGTTGTTAAACAAATTTTAAGAATTAAACACTAACTTGGGTACATTGCTCGGCTTGCCCATAACCGAGGGCGCGGCTATTCGAATAGATTATACTCTGATCAGAGGTGTACATCTTTACCCACAAGACACATCTTTCTCACGTGTAACCACGTGCCACATACCACCACGGTATACGGACGGAAGACGTGACATAGTTCCCAACCCATCCTAGCCATAAACAAGAGTACCGACCCAACCCCACCTACGGCCGGAACCCCCGGGACAGGCAGGCAGGATTGAGCCCCCTAGCAGCAGGACACCAGCCCTGTGCCATGACATCTCGACTACCGGGCCGCAGCTCGTGTAGCCTTCATTTGTCCTAGAGATGTCCATCGACCCCCGACTTCGTCCATCTCCATCCGTGTACTTTTGTTTATAACCAGTCTG